ATGTGATTTACGCAGGAATTCAGTGCGGTTCCTGTGCGAATTACATGCGATATGCTGCACCGTGTGAACCCGAGCTGATTGTCACCTCAGCTCCTACAGAGTTCAGCTTGGATGCCTAGGAACCTCACACATTAAATTTATTATGGATCACTGTAGATTATTATATAGTTTCTACTATAGTTCCCACGCCAGGTCCTCCTCCAGGGTACAGCCCAGTCCCTCGTATAAAAGGAAATATTCCAGGGTCCTGAAATTATTATATTTACAATATAATTCTCACTTTAGAACTCAGATCTCTAATTCCCTTACACAGAAGATTTATTACAGAGTCCTGCAGATTATGATATAATTTATACTAATGTTTCTTATTCCTGCTCCTGCAGGGTACAGCCTGGATGTCAGTCCCTTACGCAGAAGGCTTCATTCAAAGTACTACAGATTGTTATATCATCTATAGCATCATGTGTCAAACACCAGGCCCACCAAGCCATTTCATGTGGACCACGCACCTCTTCTGCTGCTGCACCCCCTCATCTCCGCTCCAACTTGTCACAGCAGTCGGCAGCAGAGAGGAGGGCAAGCTCCTCTGCCAGATCCTGTGCTTCCCTGTGTACCCCAAAGAGTCTTGTCTCTGCAGCCCCACCCCTCCCCCTTCTCAGCAGTCGGCAGCAGAGAGGAGGTGTTCTGTCCTACAGATCCTGCACCTCTCTGTGCAGCCTCACCACCCCCTCGTCTCCAACTCCCCTAAAGGTTGCCACCTCATCCCTTTAAACCCGAACACATATTAATTACACAGGTTCTGTGGCTGATTAAGGTGGTAATTAAACTCACTTAGTGCCCTATCTGCATTCATTTAGTCTCATAACCTGTGTAAATAATATGTGTTCAGTTTTAAAGGGATGAGGTGACAACCCTGGTCTCAGCATTCTGTAGACTCCAGCCCTCCTCTGGTCCTCCTACAGACCCTGCACTTTCTGCTTCACAGCTCTGCCCCCAGCTCCTTCACAGCAGCAGCACAAAGTAAAAGGGGAGCACTGTAATGTAAGAGAGGGTGTGGTGTGGGGCTTTTGACATCTGATGTAAGGGTGGAGTGGGGTGCTCTAGACATATTACAGACACAATTGGCCCTTTGAGGGTAACTATAATGGTGATGCGGCAGACATAAATCTCACCTCAACTCCTGCAAGGTACATCCTGGATGTTTGAGTCCCTCACACAGAAGTTTTATTCCAGAGTTCCCCAGGGAATTTCCTTTTAACAGAAGTTTTTTCAGCGATCGGTTGGTAATAAGAACAGAGCGAAGTTCATCACAGCAGGAAAATGTTAGACCACAGTACATCAACCTCCAGAATGAAGAAAATTATCTGTGTTTACATTCACACATGTTCTGAGATCCACAGAAAAACAATACATTTTCCAGAAATACGTGTGATTGTCCTAAGTTTACTTAAAAAAGTAGAAACTAGAAATAACTATAAAATTAGGACAGCAAACAGGTATCTATTATAAACCATTTATTGGACAGGAGAGAAGTTGCACATTTTTATCAAACCAGTGCAGGATTAGGTTGGAACATGTTTAATGAATGAGATTGGCATGGTGGATTGGCCAAATCAGAGATCATGACATCTCTCTGCCAATCAGAAGAATCTTTGTTTTCATTCACAGAATACAAAGCTGCCTCAGCCCGACTGTTTTGTTCCAGGTGTGAGATGGGAAGTCTCTGTCTCACAGCCAAAACCCAGCATTGTGTACTGTATGTAGCTAAAGCTAAATACAGTTCATACAATGCTTACAACTAATGCAGCAGTTGGTTAAGTAAATAGTTTGTTTCAACAAGAGATGACCAGAGACTGCGGATACAGTACAGGTAATAGCTTGGTCCAAAAAAACCATTTAAAGCAATAAAAACAAAGAAAATAATTTCCTTGCGCTAGCAAAAACAGAAAATAAATAAAGACTTCTGCATCCACTGCACAATCTAGGTACTAGATGTAAAACAACTACCATATTTTTTGCTTCATAAGATGCAGTTTTTTCCCCAAAAAAAAGGTGGGAAAATGTCAGTGCGTCTTATGGAGCAAATGTAAAGCGGCCGGTCCGGTATTTCTGCCGCCACCATGTCAGAATACCAGACCGGCCGCTCAGCTCTTCTCTCCTGCAGGACCTTACCTGTTCCTCGCTCCAGTGCTGCAGTCTTCCCGCGGCAGCTTCTGTGACAGCCGGGTGCCCACTGCGCATGCGCGAGAAGCGCTGCGCTTTGTGAATGGTCCGGTGTCTTCTGGGACACATGACAGGTCCCAGAAGGCTCCGGGCCATTCACAAAGCACAGCGCTTCTCGCGCATGCGCAGTGGGCACCCGGCTGTCACAGAAGCCGCCGCGGGAAGAAGAAAGAAGGACAATTCCGCGGAAGTGGGAGCGGTTACCTGTCAAATTCAGGTGCCCGTTCCCCCTCCCTCCCCAAAGGTCCGCAGTCTCTGGTAATCTCCTTTACTGTCTGCAGTCTCTGGTCATCCCCTGTACTGTCTGCAGTCTCTGGTCATCCCCTATACTGTCTGCAGTCTCTGGTCATCCCCAGTACAGTCTGCAGTCTCTGGTCATCCCCTGTACTGTCTGCAGTCTCTGGTCATCCCTTGTACTATGTCTGCAGTCTCTGGTCATCCCCTGTACTGTCTGCAGTCTCTGGTCATCCCCTGTACTGTCTGCAGTCTCTGGTCATCCCCTGTAGTGTCTGCAGTCTCTGGTAATCCCCTGTAGTGTCTGCAGTCTCTGGTCATCCCCTGTACTGTCTGCAGTCTCTGGTCATCTTTACTATGTCCGCAGTCTCTGGTCATTCCCTGTACTATGTCCGCAGTCTCTGGTCATTCCCTGTACTATGTCCGCAGTCTCTGGTCATTCCCTGTACTATGTTCGCAGTCTCTGGTCATTCCCTGTACTATGTCCGCAGTCTCTGGTCATCCCCTGTACTGTGTCCGCAGTCTCTGGTCATCTCCTGTACTGTGTCCGCAGTCTCTGGTCATTTCCTGTACTGTGTCCGCAGTCTCTGGTCATCTCCTGTACTGTGTCCGCAGTCTCTGGTCATCCCCTGTACTGTGTCCACAGTCTCTGGTCATCCCCTGTACTGTGTCCGCAGTCTCTGGTCATCTCCTGTACTGTATCCGCAGTCTCTGGTCATCTCTTGTACTGTGTCCGCAGTCTCTGGTCATCTCCTGCCCTGTGTCCGCAGTCTCTGGTCATCCCCTGTACTGTGTCCTCAGTCTCTGGTCATCCCCTGTACAGTGTCCGCAGTCTCTGGTCATCCCCTGTACTGTGTCCGCAGTCTCTGGTCATCTCCTGTCCTGTGTCCGGAGTCCTTGGTCATCCCCTGTACTGTGTCCACAGTCTCTGGTCATCCCCTGTACTGTGTCCACAGTCTCTGGTCATCCCCTGTACTGTGTCCGCAGTCTCTGGTCATCTCCTGTCCTATGTCCGCAGTCTCTGGTCATTCCCTGTACTATGTCCGCAGTCTCTGGTCATTCCCTGTACTATGTCCGCAGTCTCTGGTCATTCCCTGTACTATGTCCGCAGTCTCTGGTCATTCCCTGTACTATGTCCGCAGTCTCTGGTCATCCCCTGTACTGTGTCCGCAGTCTCTGGTCATCTCCTGTACTGTGTCCGCAGTCTCTGGTCATTTCCTGTACTGTGTCCACAGTCTCTGGTCATCTCCTGTACTGTGTCCGCAGTCTCTGGTCATCCCCTGTACTGTGTCCACAGTCTCTGGTCATCCCCTGTACTGTGTCCGCAGTCTCTGGTCATCTCCTGTACTGTATCCGCAGTCTCTGGTCATCTCTTGTACTGTGTCCGCAGTCTCTGGTCATCTCCTGCCCTGTGTCCGCAGTCTCTGGTCATCCCCTGTACTGTGTCCTCAGTCTCTGGTCATCCCCTGTACAGTGTCCGCAGTCTCTGGTCATCCCCTGTACTGTGTCCGCAGTCTCTGGTCATCTCTTGTACTGTGTCCGCAGTCTCTGGTCATCTCCTGTACTGTATCCGCAGTCTCTGGTCATCTCTTGTACTGTGTCCGCAGTCTCTGGTCATCTCCTGCCCTGTGTCCGCAGTCTCTGGTCATCCCCTGTACTGTGTCCTCAGTCTCTGGTCATCCCCTGTACAGTGTCCGCAGTCTCTGGTCATCCCCTGTACTGTGTCCACAGTCTCTGGTCATCCCCTGTACTGTGTCCACAGTCTCTGGTCATCCCCTGTACTGTGTCCGCAGTCTCTGGTCATCTCCTGTCCTATGTCCGCAGTCTCTGGTCATCCCCTGTACTGTGTCCGCAGTCTCTGGTCATCCCCTGTACTGTGTCCGCAGTCTCTGGTCATCCCCTGTACTGTGTCTGCAGTCCATTGGTTCAGAATATTTTTTTTCTTGTTTTTCTCCTCTAAAACCTAGGCGCATCTTATGGTCAGGTGTGTCTTATGGAGCAAAAAATACGGTACTTCAAAAAATGGGTGTACTGTCTCTTAAAGATTCCAAAGTGCAATTGTGCATACAATATAACTACATCAAACCATATTAACATAGAGAAAATTGATAATGTGAACTCAATATATGCAATAACCTAATTATTTACATACATTTCTCCATCTGTACGGATATACACTCTTCTAGGTTTTTTGTTTTTTTTGGGGGGGGGGTTTGAAAGCTGAATATGGTGTTTTGGCACAACCTTATTTGAGATTTTATCTTTATATTTATTTATATATAAAGATAAATTCACAAATAAGGTTGTGCCAAAACTCCATACTTAGCTTTAAAAAAAAACCTAGAAGAGTGTATATCCTGTCAACAACCTAAAACAGGGATGGGGCTCCCAAAACCTTCATGACATGATATAGTTTGTACCTCTCACCTCAACTCCTGCAATTCACATTGTGGATGTTGGAGTCCCCGGCACAGATGTTTTACTCCAGAATCCTGCAGGTCATTTGATGATAGGTCAATGGATTTTAAAGATCGACTTGCAGTGTTGGAGAGAATGTTGGCGAGATCTTCACAGTAGGATGGGAAGAAATTACATTCCTTAAATCTGAAGAGGAATGAACATGCTTTAATAGACATCACTGAATCTTCCTAACAGCAATGAAAAATAGTATGAGGATGAGTAGAGAGGAATGTAAATAGAAGAAGAATTGAAGGACAAAAGAAAAAATAAGAAATGCACAGCAAAACAAAAGAGTTTAGGCTCCATTGACATACTGTATGTTTTTTTTGGAATGTGCGAAAAACACGTGTCGCATATGGTGTGTCATTAATTTGTAATGGCAACCCAAAAGTGGGAAAGAGACACAAATTTTTTGCACGGAAAAAGGTCAACAAACACAGTAAAACAAACAAACCGGACCAAAGCAAAAAGTTCCATGAACAACTTTGGTGTGTTTCTTGAAATCAATGGGTCGCCCTATGCTTGCTGTGTGAAAAAACACACGTTTCAAAAAAAACAAGGTGCGAATGGGGCCTAGGAGTAGATAAAAATATTCTCCCTGTGCCTGCATGGGTTTCCTCCGGGTACTGCAGTTTCCTCCCACCTCCTAAGACATGCTGGTAGGTTAATTGGCTCCTGTCTAAATTGTCCCTAGTATGTGTATTTAGAAATGTAAGTTAGGGACCTCAGATTGTACACCCCTTGAGGGTTAGGGACTGATGTGAATGTACAATAGATATTTCAAGCTCAGTGTAAAATTGATGGCGCTATATAAGTACCGTATTTTCCGGCGTATAAGACGACTTTTCAACGACTGAAAATCTTCTGAAAAGTCGGGGGTCGTCTTATACGCCGGTGCGAGACGGTGTCAGGGCGGCACTTTTTCGAGGGGCGGCGCGACGCCGCCCCACCTCCTCCTCCAACGGACACCAAGTACAGGGGTGGGCAGAGGGGCTGCTGTACCTTACCTGGCTCCGGTCCCACAACGATCCGGTCCAGGATCCGGTCCAGGATCCTTCTGCTCCTTCTTTCAGTTCGGCCGCTCGATGGTCACGCGGCCGCTCGGCTCCGCCTCCTCACCGGTGATTGGGCGCCAGCACTGGAAAGGCACACAGGCGACCAATCACCGGCGAGGAGGCGGAGACGAGCGGCCCCGTGAAAATCGAGCGGCCGAACTGGAAGAAGGAGCAGCCGCTCCTCTCCCACTGACACCAACGATGAGGCACTGTTCCTCCTCCACTGACACCAATGAATGAGGCACTGTTCCTCCTCCACTGACACCAACGATGAGGCACTGTTCTCCCCACTGATACCAATGATGGGGCACTATTCCTCCTCCCCACTGATACCAATGATGGGGCACTATTCCTCCCCCACTGACACCAACGATGGGGCACTATTCCTCCCACTGATACCAATGATGGGACATTATTCCTCCCACTGATACCAATGATGGGACACTATTCTTCCCACTAATGCCAATGATGGGGCACTATTCCTCCCACTGACACCAATGATGGGGCACTATTCTCCCCACTGATACCAATGATGGGCACTATTCCTCCCACTGATACCAATGATGCGGCACTATTCCTCACACTGATACCAATGATGGGGCACTATTCCTCCCACTGATACCAACGATGGGGCACTATTCCTCCCACTGATACCAATGATGGGGCACTATTCCTCCCACTGACACCAACGATGGGGCACTATTCCTCCCACTGATACCAACGATGGGGCACTATTCCTCCCCCACTGACACCAACGATGGGGCACTATTCCTCCTCCCCACTGACACCAACGATGGGGCACTATTCTCCCCACTGACACCAACGATGGGGCACTATTCTCCCCACTGATACCAACGATGGGGCGCAATTCCTCCCACTGACACCAACGATGGGGCGCAATTCCTCCCACTGACACCAACGATGGGGCGCAATTCCTCCCACTGACACCAACGATGGGGCGCAATTCCTGCCACTGATACCAATGATGGGGCGCTATTCCTCCCACTGATACCAATGATGGGGCGCTATTCCTCCCACTGACACCAATGATGGGGCGCAATTCCTGCCACTGATACCACTGATGGGGCGCTATTCCTCCCACTGACACCAATGATGGGGCACTATTCCTCCCACTGACACCAATGATGGGCGCTATTCCTCCCACTGACACCAATGATGGGGCACTATTCCTCCCACTGACTAATGATGGGGCACTATTCCTCCCACTGACTAATGATGGGGCACTATTCTTTACACACTGACACTAATGATGGGGCACCATCATTGGTGTCAGTGGGAGGAATAGTGTCCCATCATTGGTATCAGTGGGAGGAATAGTGCCCCATCATTGGTGTCAGTGGGACGAATAGCACCCCATCATTGGAATACCATACTGAAATAGCATACCATATTGAAATCAAATCTGATGTTTTTTCATTTTTTTTTCCATAATAAATTTTTATTTGGTTTTACAAATATAGTTACAACAAAAAATAGGACCGTGAAAAGCTAGACAATATCACAGTATAGGTGCTGCAAAGAGAAGTTCAACAAAGAGAAAAAAGGAAATATTGAATAATTCCTAATAATCCTACTAGTTCCATGAAATAATAATGTTAGAGAATCCAAGAAAAGGTTAAACGTGATAACATCTTAGGTTAGAGTTCTGAACCAGTCGGACCAGGGAGTCCAAGCATTGTCAAATTTGGTAATGCTATCGTTTAGGTAAGCTAAAGATTTCTCATAGATGAAGTGGGTCTGGACTCGCTCAATGACTTCTTTTAGAGAAGAGGCCAAGTCTTTTTTCCAGTGTCTAGTAATGGTAAGTCTTGATGCTAGAAGACTATGTATCACTAAAAGTCGATAATGGATTGGATATGTGTCTATAATTATATTCAGTATGGCTATGGTAGGATCAGGTTGTTTTAATATCCCAGTAATTTCTGATATCATGTGGAAAACTTTATACCAATAGCTTCTAATATTTTTTTACATGTCAATAATATATGTAATAGAGTACCACTCTGACCGCAGTTTCTCCAGAACTATGAGAACTATGTTGTTCTGAAAAATTGGGTCAATATAAATATTTGTATAATTCACATCTCTGAGGGCTCATGTACACTGCAGCTGATAAGCTCACGTTTAGGAGGTGTTCAGCGTTTTTTTTCAGCAGCCCCTGAACTCACCCTATAGTTTTCCGATATGTCCATGTGCACATCTTTGTTTACAGTAGTTTACAGGCATTTGAGTTTACAGTGGTTTTTTTGAACGCACCAAACTTGCGCTCAGCAGTCGATTTTCTCAGCGTTTCAAATGCGAAACACTTGTAAACGTGTGTAAACGCAGCAAATTACGTTTATAAGCGTTTGCGTTTTAAATTTTTTTTTAACTCTTCCAGTTCCCAATGCTGTTCAGAGCCATTTATCATCATGAAAAATGCATGCAAAGCATTTTCAAGGTGCTCAGATGGACAAAACACTGAACACAGGATGTTCCTACCAAGCTTGTCACATATTGTAATAACCAATTCACACCTCAGACCTCTCCCACCCTTGGAAACAAAAGATATGTTAATGACCATTCACACCTCAAATTCCTCATGAAGACCCCCTGCCAGGTGACCTTAATGACTCCCTCCACCAGACACCTTTCCCACCCTTGGAAACAAAAGAAATGTTAATAAGCAACTCACACCTAGCTAATGTCAACACATACTGCTGTGTCTGCTTCCACTCTCTGTATTTCTCTGAAACAGTCTGAAATAGTTCATAATTTGCCACTTTTCAGTGCATTCGGGAGGTTCTCCTGTGCTTATCTTTAAAAAACGCTTCTAAGCGCAAACACACATAAACGTGCATAAACACGTTATGCAAACACAGCTAGACAGACTTTTTTTAACCTACGTTTTCCAGTAGTCAGTTTCCATCGTTCAGAAGTGTCCCGTGTACATGGGGCCTGAGATTCTCATGAGGGCATTTTATTTCAGTGTACTTCCGATTAGTATGAGCCTCACCTCAGATCCTGTATGGTACAGCCTGGATGTCTAAGTCCCTCACACAGAACTTTGAGTCCAAAGTCATCCACTGTGTTCTTGGACAGATCCAGCATGGTCAGAGTTCGGTTTGTAGTAATAAAAGAGCATAGGTCAGCGCAACAACTTGATGTCAAACCACAATCTACCAGTCTAAAGAGATATGAAAACATTTATATTGTCATAACCTCTTTCTAGTAAAAAGAAAAATTAACAAACAGCTTACAATTTTTTGTTGGATTGCAAACTTTGATTACTAAAACACACTGAATATAAGATTAAACACATCTAGTAAACTTTGTGGCGATGAATGACATCATGTATATAAGAAGCAGCTTTTTGCAGGTTATTATATATTATTGAAAACCAAACATACAGTGCTGCCATCTCCTCTCCTTCATTAAGTTGAGTAAATGCACCAGTGATCAGGCTGTCGGCTGCTGTGAGCCCTGTAGTGACTGAATCCTGATAGAATGCAGACACTTTAGGAAGAACAAAGCATAAAATCCATACAAAAGGCCAGCATGTTTTGACTTTTAGGCCTAACAGCAGAAAAGTGTTGGCCCATTGTTTGGATTTTAAGCTTTATTCTTCTTAAACATAGGCTATTGCTTGTGGAGTTTACCAAAGTGATGGCATTTTATCAAGATATTTTATATTATTTTTCCTATACACTATATTGCCAAAAGTATTGGGCTGCCTGCTTTTCCACACACATGAACTTTAATGGCATCCCAGTCTTAGTCCGTAGGGTTCAATAATGAGTTGGCCCCGCCCTTTGCAGCTATAACAGCTTCAACTCTTCTGGGAAGGCCGTCCACAAGGTTTAGGAGGGTGTCTATGGGAAGGTTTGACCATTCTTCAAGAAGCACATTTGTCAGGTCAGGCACTGATGTCGGACAAGAAGGCCTGGCTTGCAGTCTCGGCTCCAATTCATCCCAAAGGTGTTCTATGGGGTTGAGGTCAGGACTCTGTGCAGGCCAGTCAAGTTCCTCCACCCCAAACTCACTGATCCATGTCTTTATGGACCTTGCTTTGCGCAGTCATGTTGGAACAGGAAGGGGCCATCCCCAAACCTTTCACACAAAGTTTGGAGCATGAAATTGTCCAAAATGTCTTGGTATGCTGCCGCCTTAAGAGTTCCCTTCACTGGAACTAGGGGTCCAAGCCCAACCCATGAAAAACAACCCCACACCATAAACCCCCCTCCACCAAACTTTACACTTGGCACAATGCAGTCAGGCAAGTACTGTTCTCTTGGCAACCGCCAAACCCAGACACGTCCATTGGATTGCCAGACAGAGAAGCGTGATTGGTCACTCCAGAGAACACGTCACCACTGCTCTAGAGTCCAGTGGCGGCGTGCTTTATGCCACTGCATCTGACGCTTTGTATTGCACTTGGTGATGTAAGGCTTGGATGCAGCTGCTCGGCCATGGAAACCCATTCCATGAAGCTCTCTACGCACTGTTGTTGTGCTAATATGAAGGCCACACCAAGTTTGGAGGTCTTTAGCTATTGACTCTGCAGACAGTTGGCGACTTCTGCGCACTGTGCACTTCAGCATGAGCTAACCCTGCTCTGTCATGTGACGTGGCCTACCACTTGGTGGCTGAGTTGCTGTTGTTCCCAGTTGTTTCCACTTTGTTATAATCCCACTAACAGTTGAGCGTGGAATATTTTATACACCTGTGGGCATGGAGGGGATTGGAACACCTGAATCACATGAGTCGGAGGGCTGGTCCAATGCTTTTGACAATATTGTGTAATTCTCATTCAAAGTCCTGCAGCATACAACCTACATGAGGGACTTGTTAGGCTGCTTTCACACTGAGGATTTTTTCAAGTGTTTTTGCATTAAAAAAAGCGCCTGAAAAACTCAACAAAACTGCTTCCCTATGTATGTGAATGTATATCTATGTATGTTTTTTTTCACAGTGAGGCGTTGTGCTTGCGGTACGGTGTAAAGACTCCTGCTTGCAGCATCTTTGGGGCATGTTTGGGAAGCTAAAATAAAGCCCCAAAAATGCCTCTTACCATTGAAATCAATGGAAAATGCCTGAAAAACACCTGTGAGAAGCGTTTTTGGTGCAGTTTTAAGTCACGCGTCCTTTAACCACTTGCCTACCCGGCATTTATACCCTCTTCCTTAACAGGCCAATTTTCAGCTTTCAGCGCTGTCGCACTGTGAATAATAATTGCGCGATCATGCAATATTGTACCCATATGAAATTTTTATAATTTTTTTCACACACATAGAGCTTTCTTTTGGCAGTATTTACTCGCCGCTGGGTGTTTTACTTTTTGCGCTATAAACAAAAAAACAGCAAATTTTTTTTAAAAAAAGTTTTTCTTTGTTTCTATTATAAATATTTGCAAACAGGTAATTTTTCTCCTTCACTGATGTGCGTTGATGAGGCTGCACTGATAGGCAGCGCTGATGGGCAGTGATAGGTGGCAGTGATGAGATGGCATAGATAGGCGGCACTGATGGGCACTGATAGGTGGCACTGATGATGGGCACTGATAGGCGGCACTGATGATGGGCACTGAATGGCAGCACTGCTGGGAACTGATGGGTGGCACTGCTGGACGGCACTGATGGATGGCACTGCTGGGCCGCACTGGTGGGTGGCACTGCTGGGTGGCACTGATGGGCACAGGTAGGTGGCACTGCTGAGCACTGATGGGCAGAGGTGGGTGACACTGCTGGGCACTTGTGGGCGGCACTGCTGGGTGGCTCTGCTGGGAACTGATCATCAGTGCCCTGATGATCGGTGCCGATCCCTCCTTTGACAACTGCCGGTTCTCGGCAGAACTTTCCTCACGCTGTCAAAGTGCAGCCGATAACCGGCAACTGCATTTCCGGGTGATCAGTGTGTCATTGGACACGCCTGATCACGTGGTAAAAGGCCGCTGTGATTGGCCTTTTACCATACCACGTGATCAGCTGTGTCCTAAGAACACAGCGATCACGGAGATCGCCGGGGACACGCAGGAGAGCACGTTCTGGGAGGACGTCATATGACATCCACCCAGAACTGGCCGGCCGCAGTGAAGCTGTCATTCGGCTATCTGCGGTCGGCAAGTGGTTAAAAAACATGACAAAATCGTCTATGCGTTTTTGCGGCGGATCAGTGTGAAAGTAGCCTTAGAGCAAATATTTATTGCCATAGCCTGTAGATTACAATCTCATTGATAATATATTCTCACTGCAACCCTTGCAAAATACAGCTCAGATTTCTGAGTCCGGTACACAGAAGTATAATTTGTGCTCCTTAATTTCCAGGCCTGGACAGTCAGAAGGATTGCAACATCAGAAGGATTGCAACATCCTTCTGATCACCAGATCACCTTTAAAAGTTTTTTTTATTCTTTCATGTCCCAATCCGTCCTGGGAATTTATTTAGTTTAACATCACCACAGAGTGCCCTGCAAATTATTAATATGCAGTGATTAATTCTCACCTTAGTTCCTGCAGTACACAATCCTTGTTTGTTAACCCTTTGCATAGAAGTTTTATTCCAGAGTCCTGCAAATAATTGCGTGTGAGATCCAAGCAGGCTAGAGACTGGTTTGCAATGACAGGGCAGAGGTGTTCACAGCAATTTGATTTCAGGCTACATTCATACAACCTGCAAAGTGATGAGGAAAGCCAGTTCCCATTTTTTAGTTAACAAAATTATAACAATTAGCAATATTCAATAACTAGAGGCACTTTTATAGGTGGCAAAAAAAAAAATCGGTATAGGCACGATGGGACTTGTATTTCCACAACAGCTGGAGGGCCAGTTTGCCCACCCCTGGTATAGGATAATAACGTTCCCGTGTTGCATATAAGAATGGGTTTTACCTTTTACACCCTGGTCATACCAATCCCTTACAGTGAAGTTGCACTATTTCAAAGTTGGATGATATGCCGATTTGAGGTGTAAGTTGCAAGACATCTGACACAGATGTCTATGCAAGTCGCACCACAAATAGTGCATGCACCATTTTAGAAAGCGGTGCGGCTCCAACCAAGTCGGAACTGCACCGATATGACTGCTGTAATTGTGGACAATAGGGTGCGACTTGCCATGCAAGTCATATTGCATGCAAATCGCATGCCAAGTCACTTCCGTTGTGACTGGGGACTTGTGCTTGAATAATTGCCAATGAATATATTAGAACATTTCTTCATTTTTACCCCAATATGTTATGGAAACCAAATGGATTTACTGGATTAGCCCCAATTACACCCCGGTCACGCCGATCTCAACTTTGAAATCATGCAGGCGCAGGTGCATTGCAGCCATGGTGTGGGTAAACCACAGTGAGTCAGTGGGAAAGAAGTCTTATATGGGGCTTAGGACAGTAAAGGATCATTTACATCTGTGGTTTGAGGGGTGGTCAAACCTCGTAGTTGAGATGTGTTTTTACCACACACCCCAACCACTGGTGTAGCATCAGGGGTCCCAATGGCAACCCCGCCCCACACTCCAGCGGGGCCTATTCAGCCTCCCTGTCACATTGTGTTTGCATGTTCTTCCTGTGCTTGTGTGGGTTCCTCCAGGTACTCCAGTTTACTCCCACACTCCAAAGACATGCTGGTAGGTTAACTGACTCCGGTCTAGATTGGCCCTAGCATGTGCATGTATGAATGTGAGTTAGGGACCTTAGATTGTACACCCCTTGAGGGTCAAGGACTGATGTGAATGTGCAATATATATGTAAAGCGCTGCGAAAATTGACGGCGCTATATAAGTTCCTGAAATATATAATAAATAAATTCTGTTTTACACTTGGACAGGAGGGGAGGGCTGTATACAGGGTTGCTGTCAGAAACCAAGGGGCCCCGTATAGCAAACATGACAAGGCTCCCAAACAAACAAAGTTTACTATGCTTCAGTTATGAACGAACACAGTGATTGATCAGTACCAGTCGCTCATTGTGTTCATTCAGGAAAGGAAGGGGCTGGTAAATGTGACATATTTACGGACCCTTCCCCCACTCTTCATCCTAAGGATCCTATAGTGTGTTTGCAGCTGGGAAGGAGAGGAGAGAAGCCAGCAGCATTGCAGGGGTGGGGGCACACAGGGGGGGCTTGGGCAGCATGGGGACATGTATGGTGCACTGGGAGGTGCTGCAGAGACAACCATACAGGGGATCCAGTCCACGCTGTGCCTATCACCCTCCCTGCTCACATCCAATTCACCCAGCTGCCTGGGCCCCCCTGCTGGTCTTGGCCCCGTACAGAAGGATCAGTGGTACCCCCTTATCTACAGCCCTGGCTGTATATACAGTAACCAATACTCTCCATTTTCCTCCTGCAATCACTGAAAGCCGGCTTTGCCACCTCTCCCTCCCACTGACATTCAGCCGCTGCAGGAGGAAAATGTTCATTGTGCTATTCAAAATAAAAAAAAATTAAAATTCTGATTCATTTCATTTCATTGTGGCCCGCCACCGGTTACCAAGTCACTAAAGTGGCCCTGGCTGTTGAAAAGGCTGAGCACCCCCCTGACCTAGATAGTCCTTGGGGGACCCTGCTTGCTCCTTTCTCTGCCATTTCATAGAGCTACTGCTTGCTTGTCTGGGACTGGACATATGGCTACCTGCAGGAGAAAGTCACAAAGTGTGCTGCTATTTCTACCTCCTACGGGTTGTGGCCACTGACTCTTGAGCTTGCACACTGTAACTTACACAAGTTTCCGAATTCCACATTGAGAATTAAATAAACCTTCAAGACTGGAGTTGACATAAGGCAAGATTTCATCATCTTCGTTGTACAGAAGCAAGCAGTGTGTAAACCTGAAAAGAATGGAAAGTATTGAATACACAAAATGATGTTAGAAGATATTCCGACAGAGTCCAAATTAAAATAGATGATCACAAGCGCTCCTATATTAAATAAATAAATTATATGTATATGTATGTGTAGATAGATAATTTATATATATGTATATATATATACTGTATATATATATATATATACACGCGCACACACACAAGTATATATATATATGTGTGTGTGTGTATGTATATACTGTATATGTATATATATATATATATATATACACACATATATATATTCGGAAGCCTGCACCCTATGACTACACGTCAGGGTAAGGGCCTACAGCATCCTGATGTCACACCGCCGCTGGCGGCCATCTTGTACACATGGTCATTTGTCTTCATTTTTTCTTGTATGTTTTGCACCTTATCTGGAATAAATACCCTATTGAATGCAGTATCATGCTATGTGGCATTATTCTTGGGCTCTCTGTGAGTCTCACAGAAGCCGTTTTAGAAGTGTCCTGAGGCAGTGATACCATTTGAGGGACCCTGAAGGGAACAGGAGCAGGAACCTGACCATACCTGGGAGTGATTGATCTGGCTGATCGGATGAGATAAAAGTGATCTCAAAGGCGTATGTATAGCGTACATCTGGTGAGTGCGCAATTCACTTATTTTCACTCACATCATTTGTCACTCCTGATCTAGAGGAATAGAGCACCTTGAGCTGAGATCTGCTACAATCTTCAAGTTTACTGCTTGGACTTGTTCTCACATACTTGCCACTGTAACCACTCATCTGTGGTCTTATATGTTCTTCTGCACTTTATATTTATTGCATCTATGGTGGAGTGTTGTTTCAGTATTTGCATGATTTGTACTTTATATGAATTAAGATATACAGTATTACTAACTTTGTTTAGTAGGAATTTTTGCACATTCATTTAACAGCGCTGCACTGCCTTTTATGATTATCTGTTTTTGGAGGTTTTATGGTACCTTTTCGTGTTCTAGCAGCTGTAATTTAACAATAGCGCTCACTCAACTTTACTTTTTACATGTATTTGCAAATGTGTGCCAACTAAACCCCTGGTTTTACCAAGAACTGTTAGACGTGACAATTCGGTTTGTTGAAGGCTGGCTGGCAAGTTGAGCTGGGAATTCTCCTTTGTTGTTGTTTGGTAAGTGCTGCATTAGCCTCCGACTATAAGTCCTCTTTACTGACAGGAATCGATAGGGATAAGAAAAAAAACATGACCCGTCCTACATTTTTTGCTACGAAGTATGTGTCATAATTGGTCTTTTCTGGGAGGGAGTTTAGTCAACTTTTAGATATGTTTAATTCATACACTTTGCAGGTGCTTCGGTTCATTTTAGGTGACTTTGATGTGTTTTACTTTCCTGAGAAATGGCTATCAGGCTAATGATACACTGACACACTGGATATTTTAATCTTTAAAGTAGAACAATAGTCAAAACCTTTTATTCTTTTATTTTGGCTAGAGCAAGGGAGAATTATAACCCCTTTCAGATTTTTTTTTCGCTATTTGCAGAGATTTCCCTTCACTTCCTGTCCCATAGCCAAAACAGGAAGTGAGAGGATATCCCGTCAAATTAAGAGAATTCCCCAGGTCCCCATTGGAAGATATTCCCCCCATTTACCTTTCTGGGGACAACCCAAAATTTGGGGTTTTCTTTTACTTTCACTTTCAACGATAATGGTAAACAGGAAAAATAGAGAGGGTGACTCTTTCAAACTTGTACCTTTCTGGGGACAACCCAAAATTTTGGGTTTTATTTTACTTTCACTTTCAACTATAACAGTAAACAGGAGAAGTAGAGGGGGTGAATCTTTCCCCTTTTTACCTTTCAGGAACAACCCATAATTTGGGGTTTTCTTTTACTTTCACTTTCAACGATAATGGTAAACAGGAGACATAGGGTGAATCTTTCTCCCTTTTACCTTTCTGGGCACAACCCAAAATGTGGGGTTTTCTTTTACTTTCACTTTCAACCATAATGGTAAACAGGAGAAGTAGAGAGGGAGAATATTTCGCCTTTTTGCCTTTCTGGGGACAACCCAAAATTTGGGGTTTTCTTTTACTTTCACTTTCAAATATAACAGTAAACAGGAAAAGTAGAGAGGGGGAATCTTTCCCCTTTTTACCTTTCTGGGACAACCCAAAATTTTGGGTTTTCTTTTACTTTCACTTTCAACGATAATGGTAAACAGGAGAAATAGAGAGGGTGAATCTTTCCCCTTTTACCTTTCTGGGGACAACCCAAAATGTGGGGTTTTCTTTTACTTTCACTTTCAACGATAATGGTAAACAGGAGAAATAGAGAGGGTGAATCTTTCCCCTTTTACCTTTCTGGGGACAGCCCAAAATTTGGGGTTTTCTTTTACTTTCACTTTCAACGATAATGGTTAACAGGAGAAATAGAGAGGGTGAATCTTTCTCCCTTTTACCTTTCTGGGGACAACCCAAAATTTGGGGTTTTCTTTAACTTTCATTTTCAACAATAATGGTAAGCAGGAGAAATAGAGAGGGTGAATCTTTCCCCTTTTACCTTTCTGGGGACAGCCCAAAATTTGGGGGTTTTCTTTTACTTTCACTTTCAACGATAACGATAAACAGGAGAAATAGGGTGAATCTTCTTAACGGGGGTACAGACAGCAATAAAAACTGACAGGTGTTCTAATCCTTCTGCACTCCATCCAAAATTAAGAAAAAAATGTTTTTTTGCTTTTAGTAAGCCTTAAAAAAAGAAGCCGGTGCATTTAGCTAAATGTGTTTTGTGGTTTATTTGCTCCAGTCAATAATGATGTGCACTTACCGAACCCGTGAACACTTGTGGAGAGCTGTAGACAAGAGGGCCCGTGTTTTGGGGCCTATTTTGGAGTTGATAAAAGTAATTTGGTGCTCGTTTCTGCTGTTCTTCAAACAGTAGGACAAAGCCCTGTAGTCAAAGTTATGCCCTGGACTGATGATCCTTAAATCTCGAAAGTGACCCATTATCCGTCCAATTAAATCCTCGTCCTGAGCCTCATATAAGTACTTGAAACTCAGTTTGTAATTAAAGTTCTTTATCAGCCAATCCACCATCGCAGAATTTTCCCTAAACGAAAATTGATCATAGCCCAAAAATGTCCCCGTTTCTTTTTGTTGTTTTTCACTGAAAAGCCCAAACAGGAACTGTATTGTTAATTGTAGGTGTGACTTATATTTCCCTTCTTCCAGTAACTTCTTTATTTGGGCATTTTTTGCAGATGCCATAGAAGGGATTTTCATTTTATTTCCCACCACATAGTAGAGGGCAGCAAAGAACTCCTGGACAGTCAGATGGATGAAACTGTAACAGGTTTGAGTTTCAACGTCCCTTTGAAAAATATTTTCATTTAGAAAGACTGACTCAAAGTCTGTTATTGAGAGTTTGTGTCTTCTGAGGTCATCTTCTTCAAACAGGATTTTCTGACTCCAGACACCTTCGTTGGCCAACGCGCAAATTTTCCTAACACATTTAATGACTGATTGGTTGGAATTCCTACAGTGATATTTCAATAAACTCTTCAGATACAACAGGTAGATCGATGTGGTGGTCTTACAATTGATTTCTCTTTGTCTCTCCGCCATCTGTTGTTTTATTACCGTGCATACAATCCAGCAAGTAATTGGGATGGCACACATGGTAAAGAGGGTATCGTTTTCCTTTACATTACTGAGAGCAAGTTCGGCTTGTTCTTTTGCTGGAAAGAAACCGTAAAAAAATTGCTCGCGGTCACTCCCCAGGAACCCCAGAATTTCAACATGTCGGGGAGATAGAAAAAGTTCATGTAGCTGTTCCAGTGAGTATGGCCTTGTGGTGATGATTACCGAAGCTCCCCAGAGACAGGATTGTCTGAAGATACTATTTAAAAGGATTTCTTTACTAGTCTCCTGAAAAGGATCTTCACAAACCTCTGTATCACTAACTGAAGTCCATATCAACTCATCAAATCCATCCACAAGTAAAAGTAGTTTGGGAGAATCGCCTAGGATTGACTTGAGAAGGTCTCTTTCACAACTGATGTGGCAAAATTTACGTACAAGTCCAGCTAGGCTTATGTCACCCTTGAGGTTGTTAAGCTCCCTACAGCTCATGTAAAAAATGAAATGAAATTTGTCTTGGTAAAAATTCCCATTGGCCCACTCCAGAATGATTTTCCGGGAGGTCATGGTTTTTCCAACACCGGCGGGTCCTTGCAGCACAACGACTTTGGGGACTATGCCATCTTCATCTGGATCAAACAGCCTATCTATGGTGATTGGGGAATATTGACTTGAAGACCGTTCATCCATTATCTCCAGATGTCTTTGGCCCAGGCTTATGATTTCATGTTCCCTCTCCTTTATATTCCGTTGTTTCTTTATTATCAATAGTTTTGTGTACCTCTTGTCTAGATAGACGGCCTCTCCTAAGCAGGCATTTCCATCTCTATGACTCTGATATCTTTCCTTCATTAAAGCCATGTACCTTTTTCTGAAATCTGCTTAAGACCAACGAAAAAAGAAGGAATGATCAAACATCTGTAATCATTTACAACAGCAACAACATAAAGCCTGTGTAGAAGGCTTTTATCCACTTCAGAACAAGAAACACACCTGCAATTCATTCTAAATAATCTAGGAAACATCTCAAACTAATGTGAAAAGCAAATCACATTTGTCTATTTGTCATCCACACAGGCCTATGCATAATAAATACGTATCTCGTAGAGAATAGGGTGTTAATTCTTTGTGTTGACTTTTCTGGCTTCTGGAAATAAAAGCTAATTGTAAAGAAAAGTAGCCAGTGCAATCAAGGTTTTCCAATTTATACAGTTTGTGGATTATTGGAAGATGTTCCTTGGACCCTGTAGTATACCCAACATGACAGAAAACCAGGAAAAGACCATGGCCAAAAAATGACCATGACCAAGATATGACCATGACCTAAAGACTGGATTAAGACAAATGTTCTTCTCAACAATATTTGTCAAACACAAGGCCCACAAGCCAAATTCAGCCCACCAGGCAATTTCACGTGGCTCTCACACCTCTCCTACAGCTGTGGCACCCCCCCTCATCTTGTCCCCACCTTGTCTCAGCAGTGAATACTGGGCCCAGGCAGAGTGGATATAGTGAATTCAGGGTCCGGGGAGAGCAGATATAGTGAATGCGGTGTCTGGGGAGAGCAGATATAGTGAATGTGGGGTCCAGGGAGAGCGGATATAGTGAATACCGGGTCCGGGGAGAGCAGATATAGTGAATGCAGGGTCCGGGGAGAGCAGATATAGTGAATGCGGGGTCCGGGAAGAGCGGATATAGTGAATGTGGGGTCCAGGGAGAGCGGATATAGTGAATGCGGGGCACCGGGAAGAGCAGATATAGTGAATATGGGGTCCTGGGAGAGCGAATATAGTGAATGCTGGGTCCGGGGAAGAGGATACAGTGAATGCAGGGTCTTGGGAGAGCGGATATAGTGAATGCGGGGTCCAGGGAGAGCAGATATAATGAATGTTGGGTCCGGGGAGAGCGGATATAGTGAATGTCGGGTCCGGGGAGAGTGGATATAGTGAATGCAGGGCCTTAAGAGAGTGGATATAGTGAATGCGGGGTCTGGGGACAGCAGATATAGTGAATGCGGGGTCCAGGGTTTAGGAACATTTTAAGAAACATCAGCCAAACCAGACACTAATGTATAAGATCCTATCACAGAGCTTTTTTTACAAGTTGGACATACCCTCTATTTTGTTATCCAATGACTTTGTCTTTATTGCACCTAAAACAAAAGCAGATAATGTCATAATTAAAGTGTATGTATGCATGAAAAAAAAACAGATTCAGTACATCTCCGCAATACAAAATTGTAGATACGCAGTAAGTAGTAGAACATGATCTTGACCATGCTTGCAACCATGGACAAGTGCAAAATTGTGAACAAGATGTCAGTAGCAGCATAGGGTTGCACAGCTGACTCAGGAACATTGGTAGCCCACCCTTTCATAAGTAACGTTGGTTTTCCATGACAAATTCCTTTCTATGGCAGCCATGGCTGGACAACCATCCATTCACTCAATTTACCTTGCAACTGACCCAACTTTGACTCAGGCGGTGACTACTCATTTGTCTATTTACCTATATTAGGGGTCATGTTAAAGTGTCCCACGTGGTAGACCCCCTTTCTTCCCTTTACCTGTTTCCTTTCATCTCTTTTTTTCTTAATTTCCTACTTGTTCGTTACAATCTGTTTACTCCTTCCCATTTTCATTTTTACTCTGTATCTCTACCCTCTTGAGGGCCACTGTGTTTCTGGGTTCCCCCTAAGCTTTGCAAAGCCAGGCAACACGCATTTTTCCACACTTGCATCCACAATCAATGAACAGTCCACAAGCTTGGTTTTTGTTATTTTTATTAGGGATATAACTTGGATAGGGTAATAGGGATTATGGGATACCCAACTTGACTGACTGTTCTCTTTGAATGCGGTCAGTCATTATGGATCAGTAGCAAAAGTCCCTTATGAGCTAAGGACTCTTAGGCCCCTCTGAACCTTAGCACAGATTTTTGCAAACCACATGCAGAAGTATCTCCTCTCCCCTGTAGAACTGCTCCCAGCTCCGCAGCCTGCAGACACTACCAGCCCTCCTGGCTGTTCTGAAGATCTCCCGGGACAAGGATAATGGGTTAGGCACAGTGCCGTCCTTTTAAAGCTTGCTACATGTGGCAGTCTCTCCCCTTGTGAATCCCTGGGTGTGCTGATGTTCTCACTCTGTCCTCCTTGTTCCCACCACTCCCAGGCAATGATCCTGTTCAAACCGTGATGCTGAATAGACCTTCCTGAGCCAGCCCGAGCCAAGCCTGGAGGCAGCCACCCCTAGACCTAGGGGGCCACCGACAGCCTCAGCACGCCATCTTCCATCCGACTCCCCAATTCGCATGGCTCTCCCATATTTACAGTATGGGTTAGCCTTAGCACACTACCAGGGCCTCCAAGCCTGGGATTGGTCGGACCCCAATAAACATGCACATTTAGGTCTCTACCCCTTCTGCCCACTGGATTATGAAAGCTTCCATGGTCCTTCAGAACAAGTTGGAGGCAATAGAGTCCCAACCTGCTGAGTCACCCAGCCTGACCTGCAGGAATCCAACCTAATTACAGACTCACACAGTTACAATGAGTTATACACAATAGATTTGCCTACACTAATACTATAGCACGCTAGAGGGTGGTACAACTCAGTGGAACCAATTGCAGTACAACGCCCCTACCACATTCGCTTGGGAACTTGACCCTTAGGACTAATTCACAAGCTTCCCACCGATTTATGCTGTTCTCTAGCCAAAGGTACAGGGAAAACGTATGCACAGTTCCGAGTTTAATCAACCTCCCTCAATATGGTTTCAAATTTTGGTAGCGTTCAGATGCATATGTTATCCTTTCAAACCTGTTCTAAGGCCACCTATAAGACCCCTGCGAGGGTGCAATGTTATCTCTTTTTTAGCTTGGCTTTTCCAATCATTCTGTACCCAAAAGTGTTTGTTTATGTATGTGACTTCTGGTGGCAGTAACACCAAAAGAAGTATCAGAATAATATATTTAATAAATTTAGCACATACATTCAAAAATAGAAAGAAAGCAAAGAACATGTTTCAGAGTTACTCAAGACTCAAACTCACCATGTTGTCCAATCTTCATCTGAAGTTCTTCAGCTGGTCCCATTAGGGAGATTAATCTCAGAACCTTTACAGTCACATCCAGCGCTGCCGCTTCTCCATAAAAATTGATGAGAAGGTTCTTTGTAACAACCCGATTCGCATTTTCTAGAGGTCCACGTGGAACTGGACGTATGTCCTTGTAGGAGAAATCTGACAGTTTATCTTTAAAACGCTCAAAATCTCTGCCTTCCAGGTCCTCTAGGGAAGCGATCATGAGATCACTGCTTGTCAAACTCCCACCCCAATCCTCAGGGGCGGGACCTGAAATATAAAGAGTGAGTGCAGGCAAGCAGGGGAGGAGAAAAAAGAGATGGCACCTAAACGAGGTAATATTTATTTATTTATTTATCGAGTTTATATAGCGCCAAAGGGTTTGCTCAGCGCTGTACAGTAGAGGGGGGGACAATACATGAAACAGAACAGTAACATCAAACAGTACACAAGGGGTAAGAGGGCCCTACTCTTTCGAGCTTACAATCTAGGAGGGAGGGGGTAGAGGCACAGGAGGAAACGGCTGTGGGGGATGGAGTGGTAGGAGGAGGGAAGGGCAGCGGCTGTTAGGTGAGAGTGGGGTAGGCTTCCCTGAAGAGGTGGGTTTTCAGGGAGCGCCTGAAGGTGAGGAGGGAAGGTGACAGTCTGATGGATTGGGGTAGTGAGTTCCAGAGGATGGGGGAGGACCTGGAGAAGTCTTGCAGTTGTGCGTGGGAGGAGACCAGGGAGCAAGATAGAAGGAGGTCCTGTGAAGAGCGAAGGGTACGGGTAGGGTGGTACCTGGGAATCAGGTCGGTGAGGTAGTTAGGGGCAGTGTTGTGAATGGCCTTATAGGTCAGGGTGAGCAATTTGAATTTAATGCGTTGGGCAATGGGGAGCCAGTGGAGGGAGAGGCAGAGGGGGGTGGCAGAGGTGGAGCGGCTGGTGAGGTGGATGAGTCTGGCCGCTGAGTTCAGGATGGTCTAAAGCGGGGAGAGCCTGCACTGGGGTAGGCCGGTGAGGAGGGAGTTGCAGTAGTCAAGGCGTGAGATAATCAGGGAGTGTACGAGTAGTTTAGTGGTGTCTGGGGTAAGGAAGGAGCGTATCTTGGCGATGTTCCGGAGGTGGAGCCTGCATGTGTTTGTAAGTGATTTGATATGAGGTTGAAAGGAAAGGTTTGAGTCCAGAATGACGCCAAGGACCTTGGCTTGCTGGGCGGGATTGATGGTGGTGTTGTTGGTAGTGATGGAAAGGATGGGGGGGCGCGGGCTGGGGGGAAGACGAGAAGCTCGGTTTTGGAGAGGTTGAGCTTGAGGAAATGGAGCGACATCCAGTCAGAGATGTCGTTTAGGAGGTGAGTGATGCGGGCGGAGAATGTGGGGGTGAGGTGAGGGGTGGATAGGTAGATTTGAGTATCATCAGCGTAGAGGTGGTAATTGAAGCCGTGGGAGTGTATGAGTTTGCCAAGGGAGGAGGTGTAGATGGAGAAGAGAAGGGGTCCAAGGACAGAGCCCTGAGGGACCCCAACAGAGAGGGGGAGGGAAGAGGAGGTGGCATCGTTGTAGGAAACGCTGAAGGAGCGTTGGGATAGATAGGACGAGAACCAGGAGAGAGTGGTGTCTCTGATGCCAAGGGAGAGTAGTTTATTAAGGAGGAGGGGGTGGTCGACTGTGTCAAAGGCCGCGGAGAGGTCTAGGAGGAGGAGGACAGAGTAGTCGCCTTTGGCTTTGGCGGTTAGTAGATCGTTGGTGATTTTGAGGAGGGCAGTTTCGGTGGAGTGTAGGGGACGGAAGCTGGACTGTAGTGGGTCAAGGAGGTTGCTGTCAGTTAGGTGGGCGCTTAGGCGATCGAAGACCAAGCGCTCAAGGAGCTTGGAAGTGAGTGGCAGCAGGGAAATTGGTCTGAGGTTGTTGAGGTCAGTGGGGTCCAGGGAGGGCTTTTTGAGTATGGGGGTGATGTGCGCATGTTTTAGGGGGGGGAGGGGGCATTGGGAAAAGTCTGTGGGTCTATGAATATCAAGTACATCTTCACTAAACGTTTTAAGCAGTTTTATATGCCACAAGATGTCTAAAAATAATATAAATACACTACTGTTGCCTTATATGTCCACACACAAGGAGTCTGTGTTACTCGTACCACTGCTCCACCTCCTGAGCTCTCCTATTCCTGTAGATCCTTATAGGTGTCTTCTCCTGACAATCAGTTTTAATCAGCAGACCCTCCCACTGCAGGGCTGATTTCACCTAGTGAATGACTAACCCATAAATACATTATAGATAATTACTTCAAATAAGTTGGAAAAAAAATACATTAGTGGATAAAATGGTGTCTTTAGAAGTCTACCTACAATATTATCTTTGAATTTTTCCAATTCTCTACTTGCAAACTTTAGAGCAGTGTATTTAAGGATGAAAAAAACTGAGACAAAAAAGGAATAGAAGATGTTCAAATCATAGAAAAGGTGTGACTCACCTTGCAGCATAGAGGACGCCATAATGGACGATCACAAGAAATCTGGCACTTCCATTATCTAGAAGGCATATGGTATCCAGAGACAATAATTACTTGAGGTCCGGAGACGCACCAGAACACACAGAGAAAAGTATAAATCATTCAATTAGTTATGTAAGACCTATTTCAAAGCATATCAGGAGGACATATGAAAGAGTCAGTCTACTCAAAAATCAATATTTTGGTCAAAGGCAAAGCCTGGAGGGCTGAGTCAGGTGTCCAAGGTGAAGCCTGGTGGGCTGAGTCAGGTGTCCAAGGCAAAGCCTGGTGGGCTGAATCAGGTGTCAAAGCGGAAGCCTGGTGGACTGAATCAAGTTGCAAAGGTGAAGCCTGATGGACTGAGTTGGGTGTCCAAGGTGAAACTTGTCCTGCTGGGTCAGTTGTCAAAGGTGAAGCCGGATGGGCTAAGTCAGGTGTCAAAAGTGAAGTCAAGTGGGCTGTGTCAGGTTTC